CCAGATTCACTGAGACACCTGAATATTAGTTTGGAATAGGATTGAGCAACCTTTATTCACTCATGCACACAATTGCACAAACATTCACACACTTCATCCCTTTTCTTCCACTGTCTTTGTCTCTTAGAAGTTCATTGCAGATCTCAGACCAGATGATGTTTGCCATTTATACCAGAAGTTCATTTGCTGCTGGCCAGCTAATTCAGCTGATCAGTTAACTAGTAGGAAAAGTGGATGGGTCTTCCTGCATTTGCATTTTGTTTTCAGTCTGAAGTCTGCTTCCTGCCCCCTAATTACGTTCTGTATAGTTTACGTGAAGCCCACCCTCTCTCAAGGGAGACTTTCTGGAAATTAGGGATTGTATCCCTTTATGCAGATATTTATTTTTATTTATTTATTTATTTATCTATCATATTTATATAACCGCCCATCTCACCCAAAGTGACTCTGGGTGGTATACAACAATTAATATGCACTAGCACTAGAATACGTTCTTCAGACTCTGGGCTTCTGAGACATTATGAACTGCCAGCACTTTGAGAGAAGAGTTATTCAAGCTTGAAGAAAGGAATAGAGCTGCCTCCCTTGGACCCAGGGATGGAGACCTAATTATCTGCTGGAGTTCCTTCTATACATGCCTTTATTGAGGTCACTGCTTTAGACATGGTCTCCTGGAGAGCTTCAAGGACCAATTATTTCTGCTTGAATAACTTTTCCTTGGCTAAGGAGTGGGTGGTAGGTGGTCAGAAAGCTACATAAATTTTAAGGGGAAAATATCTCCAGCATCAAAGGTGTCTCCCCAGTGAAGATTGCTAATTTGGGACCCTAAGATCAGCTTTCTGTGACAGCACTGAGCTTACTCATCTACTTCTTCTCCAGTGTATAGCACGATTAGTATAAAACAGCTTAAGAAGCTGCCAGGAGCCCCTCATAAATGTATATTAGCACCTGCCTTCCTTTTTTCCCATTCCCAATGAAGACTGGGATTTGACTTAGTGCAGGAAAAACCCAAGGAGTGACAGAACAATTTGCAGGTTCAGTAATGGTTTCCCCAATGTTCATTGCCACAGCTTTGCTGCATCCTCCAGAGTGTGATTGGAAATAAAGGAGCCTAGAGACAGAGCCTGGGGCAGAAAGGTTTCTCTCTTCCAGCAAGGAAAGCCTGCCTGCCCCAGCGTGTCCCACTGTGATGTTGCCTTGTCATAAATTAACCACACACACAATTAAAGAGCCTGTCTCAGCTCCAGGAGCTGTGGATGTATTTCATCCCAAGAGAGAGAGAAAGGCACAGTGGTATACAGCTATAAAGCATCTGAGCGCAGAATCTGGGCTCTTAGCAGAGGGCTGGCGGCTATTTGTCAGCACAAGGCAAGACGTAAGGGGTTGAAGGGAGGCAGGGGTGTGGAGAGCAGCCAGGTATGAAACGGTATGGGTGGGTGGGCAAGTGAGAGAAAGTGTATCTGCAGAGGCTTGGTGCAGGTTGTTAGGACTGTGAGGCACTGTGGATGTATGTTTGAGAGCCAATTTGGCATAGTGGTTAAGGTGCTGGACTAGAAACCAAGAGACCTCAAGTTCTGGTCCTCCCTTAGGCATGGATACTGGCTGGGTGACTTTGGGCCAGTCCCTCTCTCTCAACCCAACCCACCTCAGAGGGTTGTTGTTGTGGGGAAAACAGGAGGCAGGAGGATCTTGAATAGTACAAAAAAGGTGGGTGATGCATCTAATAATAAATAATACCATACATGGTGACTGTCACCTGAAGATCAGTCATCATGCAAGCTGCTCCCATCATATGCATCACATTCCCATCAAATATTTCTAATGGTAACTAGTGACTGAAATTAATCTTCTGCATCATGTGGGAGACACAGAACAGCAAGCTGACCAATCAGTTACAATCACCATCAGACAGAGAATGTGGAAGCATCTTCTGTGTGTGAATCATAATTTGAAATTCTGTGATAACAGTCTATGTGAATGCATTGACCCAAGCTGGAAACCTTCATGGGATTTGGAGAACTGGGAATCTCTTCCAAATGATTCATGTTGTCAGCTATTTTGATTTTCTGTCCTCAAGAGAGGACAGGCAATACAACTGGGTGGCCTCTGTGTTGTGCTCACGTCTTCTTGCGGCATCCACATCAGCTTCTGGTTCTCCACAGAATGCTGAACAAAATAGATATTTGGCCCAGTCCAACCCAGCCCCCATCTTCCTATACTGACCACTTCTTTCCATCTGCCAAGTGTAAGATTCTCTCAAGGTAGATTTACAATAAAGTAGAATTAGCTCATCTGGTTGTGTTTCCTATCTGGTTTGCCCGAGCAAGGCCGACGTCAGTCTTGCAAGTCTGAAAGTACAATTCTCCCCCACACTTTCCTTTACTGCCTAGAAACTAGGGAGGGTCTCTTCTAAGCCTCTTGCCCTTCCTATTATCCAGCTGTGGGCTATGCTGTCTCTTATCCGACCATTCCGTTGGTAGCATCTCTGGGCCATCTCCCAAGGTCTTTCCCACATACCATTACACCAAGTTAGGTCTCCTATTATAGATGCAGCAATTTTCTACAGACTTGGTCTTTAGTTACTGTCAAATGACAAAGATAGACCAAGTTGCATTTTGCTGGTACTTAGTATATAGAATCCACTACTAGAATTCTTGTCCATATGGATATGAATATTTCTTATTCCATATGGAGCATTTCTCTCTCTTGCATTATATCCATTAACAAGTACAAAGTAAGATTTAGGGTTAGCAAAAGGATTTATAGTCCAATAATTTTATACAAAATTTTATTTAAGGAATATTTGAGCAGAGCATAAATTTAGGCATATTAAAATTGTAGAAGAGGGTTATTTTGTAACAAAGATATGGGAAATAATCTAGATCAAAGAATTATTAGACATTGTTTGAATTCTTAGATTTCATTCACACTGAACTTTTTCTCTGAAACTACTCTGGTTAATTCACTCACTCTTGAAAGAAAATCCAGGAGATTGCAGTTCAGTATTTTCTATGTTGGCCTTCCATGTTTTGTTCACATATAATTTGTTATGGGTGAGGGACAATAAAATGCCATGAGTTACAGCAACAGCCTGCCCTATAGGGACAAGTAAAATGCTATTCAGATTTGGGGGGGCAGGGTCCTGTTCCCTGACTGAATTGCTCATTTTGCAAAAACATTATTTTTCTTTCTGTGGGATACATTTCAGAAGAAATAATGGTAAATAGCCTTGTTTAATTGTCTCAGTATCAGTTTCTGTTCCCATAGGGTAGGGGGTGGTTTTAATGATTTCTTTGCTCAAAACCAGTAATTAAAGCCTCCTTACATCTACCTGCAGGAACACAAGTAGACATTGGAACAATCAAGAGAGGCTGTTCAAGGGTCAATAAATTGGCTACTTATAAATTGGGTAGTCACGAGTAGTAAGAAGAAACAATATAATAGGTAGGATCTGTAAACTAAAACCAAAAAAATCATGAGCATTAAAAAAGACTTTTATGAATGGGATTTAATTCTGAATAAACATTTTATAAAAAATCTAAATCGTGAAAGAGTATGTTGTGGAATAATATAGTGATATATTCAGTGCTATGTGGAACTTTGATTTTAATTCCACTTCCAGCAAACTGTGGAAAAGCAATGTCTCAGCGCTAAATGTATCTAGTGCAGAAGCAACCACAGACATCTGAATGTAGTGCTTGTTTTTCTTTCCTGCCTCTCAGTGAATTAACACATTTTTGAGGCAGTATCTAGGAAACTGAGTTGCTATCATTTGGCAAATGCCATGCTGTTCTCTGGTTCAAAATCCCTCTCCCCTTTTTTCAAACAGGAAGATAGGTCAGTTTTAGGGGTTGATAGTGCCATCACATATCAGTGGCTTTGAATAAATAATTTTATTTATCCTTTTTTACAGGGTAATGGGATGTATAGGTTCGATTCTTGCTGGAGGGGCAAAATAGCAGGATTAATGAAATCCCTGCAATATCCCATTTTAAATCAATACTTAGGTGTACTTTCCATGTATGTTTTGGAATAAAGGACATTTCCAGCTCCATCTAGAAGTATAATCTTTGAATTTAGTAGGTCTAACATTTAAAAATATGGCTGCACTTTGATCAAGAGAATTATGTTAATGTAAAGAAATACATACTGTGTCTTACAAAGGCCTTGCTGCTTTCTTGCCCCTTTTGCTTTTCTTTCAGCTGGGATGAGCACGACCTGGAAACTTCCCCACTGTCCTAAAGGCAATTTTTCCAGTCTCCATTTTTCACCCAGCATCCAGTTATTTTCTCCCATCTCTAAAGGACAAGCATCTGTGGGCAAATTGATACTCAGCTTAAGTCCGTGGACGTCCAGGCAATGTGCTTGCCGTTCAGATGCACAAGCATAAAAGTTGGTAGATGGTGTGCAATTTGTCATCCTGAGAATTTTTTTTAAATAGCTAATTGCTTTTCAGAATATACATGAACAAGAATGCTGTAAAGAAATACATTTTTGATGTTCCATGAAGTTGCTAGGTAGGCTATCTAGGAGTAGGTTTTTATTTGTCCTGCACTTAATTTTATCTTTTCCTTGTTAGTCCAACCTGCCTTCAGTGAGATGCTTTTTATGCCTCTAATTCTCCCAGAAGAGAATGAGAGTTTAATCAAATCCCTTGAAAACTAGAATAACGAGGGGCGCATCTAGCCTGCAGATTTTGTCATCCTGTGCCACTTCTTCCACTTTGCTCCTATAAAATGATGCCCAGCAATTTCATGGCAGCTAAAAGGTGTGTGTTGATAGCATTCTTTCTTGCCCTCCTGTTGGGTGCAATTACTGATTGCCCAATACTTAACTGCCTTGTGTTATGGGAAGATTAACTGGAACTCACCGGAGTTGTTGGACAGATTTCCATTTCGGAAGGGAAGAGAGAGTGAGAAGCTGAGGAAAGTTGAAGCTCACAGCCTGTCATGAGAATGTCAGCTCTGAGTAAGGAAGATTCTCTTGTCATGTCTCTGCAGGGCAATCAGGACGCCACGGCTCCGCCTGACGCAATGGCTCAGCCCTATCCCCCGGCAACATACCCACCACCCCCACAGAATGGCATTCCTCCAGAGTATGCTCCTCCACCACACCCGCACCCAGCACAGGACTATTCGGGGCAGAGCACAGTACCCGAGCACGCCTTGACGCTCTACACCCCAGCACAGAGCCACTCCGAACAGCCGGGCACTGATGCCAGCACGCAGTCCATAGCAGGCACGCAAACGGTACCGGTAAGAGACTCTGCATACAGGGCCTGACCTGGCCATAGAGCATGCCTGCACAGTGGCAGCCTAGGGAAGTTCAGGGACGTAGACATCCAGTGAAGAAGGAGAAGGCGGGTGGTTCCTCCCGGAAAAATGCAAAGTGGAAGGAGGGAACTGGAAAAAAAAAAAAAACCTGTACAGAATTGGATGAGAAGATTGTAAGGAACCCTCTGTTGGAAAAATGAACCCATTGGCTCAAGACTGAGAGGCTGCATTATGGATAGGGGGGAAGACTGCAGATCCAATCCCCTCTCTGCCCCCAATCCCGGTTTGTCTGCTTGGCCTCATTCTACTTTCAGCTGAGACCCAGAGATAGCAAGGGATCAAAAGGGGGCAGGAAATAACCGAGGTAGTTCTTGTGCAGCAGGAGGCCAGTGCAGAGGAACCATTCCAGCACCCTGCTACCCCCATGGGCATCTGTGGCTCAGCACTTAAGTTTCCTGGCTCCCTTTGTGTCCCTAATCACTTGTAATCTACCTGCTTGGCTGCTTGCCAATCCTATCCTGCCAATGATGTGGTTGTAATGCAGCTCAGCGAGGAAGCGCTGAGTGAGCAGTTCCCAGCTGCTCCTCAATCCCTGAGTGCCAGGCTGGCTGCTCGCCACCACACAGCTCGGAGAGTGAGCTCTGCCTCCCCACATAGCTCGGCGTGTGCAGGAATGCATGAAAACCCAGGATGGAGCCAAGACATCTCCAGCCTTCTTTTCCCGGAGCTGTGTCTTTGGGTCTGTGCGAATTCCTATTCCACTTTCTCAGGTGCTGCTGCTGTCCTGTGTAGAAGGACAAGACTATGGCCCCTGTTTTAGCAATGGGAAGTTGAAGCTGAAAGAGTGGTGGCTGGTCTAAGATCAAATGACAGAGTTGAACTGGGGACTTCCAGTTTCACAGCTCACATTCTTAGTCCCTAAGCGACAGCATATGCCACCACTCCCTGACTGGCTTCTCACTTTACACTAAACCATAATGTGATTGGTTTGTGTTTGGCGCACTGTATTGTGTTCACCTAGTTATCATGCTTTTAAGCCATGGCTTATGGCTTTGAGTGTTGAGTAAACCCCGCTCTTCATTTTTTAGTCAGTAAGCCACAGCTAAACAAACCATGCTTAGCATCCTGTGTGAACCTCGTCTCAGAATGACATTAAAAGTTGGTCATCACGTAACATCACTTTCATAGAAATGCCCATTCCCAAATACCTCTCAGGATTACGGGGAACCTGCAGCATGAGGACCCCAAGCCTTGACCCAATCTTATGCAGGTGAAGGGAATCTAACAGGGAGATGGCGTACAAGAGGAGAAAAAATGTTGGGGAGGGCTAAAGCGAAAGAGCTCCCTGAAGCAATGAGTTCAGACCTCCTGCAGAACTGGGGGGTAAGAAACAAAAGCAAAGAATAGGAGTGGAGCCAAAGCAATCAGAGTGATGGAAGGAGCCCTCTGAAAGTAGATCACTTCAGATCTCTATCAAGAACAATCTGCTTTTCAGGCAGAGAGGAAGTGTGGGCTGGTGGATAGCAGTGCAGGGCAGGGGAAAGAGAAAGAGAAAGGACAAGAAAATGAGTGGACTAAACAGAGAAATGAATCCAGCCCCAATCACTTCCAGACTAAGACTTCCAAAAAATTACCCCAGCCTTCAGTAGAAAAACAGATTATACACTAAATTCAAGGAAGTTAATATCCCCGCAAACTGAAAACCTAATTGCCCCAAATCCAATCCTACATGTTCACTGGATTCATTCCATACCTTTGAAGTCTGTCTTTCTCAAGCAGCAGTGACATTCCCCCCACCCACCCATCCTACCACCCTGCACACATGCACACACACACACACACAAAGAATCACAATGGTGCATTAAATTTATTTATTTTCACCAGCAGACAGATGAAGCAGCGCAGACAGACAACCAGACACTACACCTACCAGAGAGTGGTTCTGACAAGCAACAGCCTAAGAGGCTACACGTTTCTAACATCCCTTTCCGCTTCCGGGACCCTGATCTGCGGCAAATGTTTGGGGTGAGTCTATCCCCTTCCTGTGCCAAATACACACACAGAAATGTCCACAGACCTGCACTTTGGTCTTCTTGGAAAGGAACTGGCTGTTTTGTTTTACATTATAATTTAGTCTGGTTTTTGTTTCATGTGATATGTGAACCTAGCATTGTGATTAGTAAAACATGGTTTACAGCTGAGTGTTGTGTATGAACCACTATGGCTTACTCAACAAACTATGGTTAAAACAAATCATTACTTAGCACCATTACTTAGCATCATTACTTAAATTCAGCAAATGAGTCCCAGACAGAGATACAAATAGAGTTAACAATCTTGGGTCCAAATGTTGTCAAATATACCTTGTATCTTCATATAGTGTCCACATATTCCTGTTGTTATAACTCCTAATAGTCCATGTATCTAAAGTGCCTGCTTCTTGCTTTCATTCCCCTTTGGCAGGAACTCCTACCTGCTCCCTCTGACCCCCAGAGCTCTGCAGGTCTTGTGATTTTCAGGGTTCAGGCAGGATTGATCTTGTTTCTCAGTCTAAGCATGGCTAGAACATGTTGTTCAATGGCTGAATACTGCTTCATGCGGAAAATACCTGCTGTACTCCCAGGGAAGATGGGTCCTGGTGGCCAGTAGATACAGAGTTGCATCTGTCTAAGTATGATGGTAGATCCCAGAAGTTTTTTCTGTGCACATGTGTAAATACAGGTAGTCCTCACTTACCAAAGTTATGATGGTGCTGAAAAAGTAGGTTTATGACCAGTTCCTAGAACTTGTGGCTGTTGCAGCGTCCCCATGGTCATGTGATCACGATTTGGGCACTTCGCAACTGACATGCATTATGATGGTTGCAGCATCCCACAGACACATGGTCACCATTTGTGGCCTTCACAGCTGGCTTCCTACAAGCAAAGCCAGTGGGGAAGCCAGCAGGAAATTGCAAGTCATGGTCACATGACATTGCGCTTAACGACTGGAGTGGAACTGTCATAAGTCTGGCACTGTCACATGACATTTTACTTAACAACCGTGTCACTTAGCGATGGAGTTGCCAGTCCCAATTGCAGTTGGTAAGTGAGGACTACTGGTTCTTGATACTGTAAGGATGTTCTGAAATTCTAGAGGTTTCTGCACACCATGCCCTTTGGGAATAAATCAAAGCACAAGGGATTTCCAAGCCGGGATGGAAAGAAATGATGTCTCCACTCCCATTTTCACCTTTCCTTCTTCCCCCTTCCCCTGTCCCTCTTTTTCTCCCCCAGCAATTTGGAAAGATCCTGGATGTTGAGATCATTTTCAATGAGCGTGGTTCCAAGGTGGGTTCAACATATTGGTCTCTGGTACAACCCAAATGTCACCATAGATGGGTATTCCCAAGGGCCAGTCTATCTTCTCCGCTCTGCATTCCTGCTTTACCATTTCCTTTCTATGCCACAGGATGCCTCCTGGTTTCTAACTACCCTTTCCTCACCATCTCTTCAGATCCTGTGACTTTAAATTTAAGAATGACATTTTGATATTTTAACTTTCACTCTGAAAACAAGCCTGCTGGTTGAAAATAATTAACTAAAGCAACTCTAGATTTGGAATAATATAGAAAGGGGAAAAACTGAGCCACAAACCCACCACTAAAGTAATTTAATACAGAAAAAGATCACCCTCTCATGGTGAAATTAGAAATTGCTCTAACCAGAGAGAAAGAAAAAAATAACATGCTACTTAAGACAATGTGGTATTAAGGCTTGGAGGAAATGTGGATATTTCTTCCTCTCGGAATAGACATGAAAATACTTTGTTGAATTTTGTTTCCAGGAGGTTATTCAGGTATTTCAAGTTTGAAAGAATTGGGAAATCCTTTCAGTGCTTAAACTCCTGCTGTTCCGCTATTGACTGTAGGAGCTAAATGAAACAGAAGCTGAGCACGTGTCCCCCTCACAATTGTTGAGCATTCTGGAGAGGGCAGAACTAGAACTCAGCGGTTCCTGCAGCCGCTTCACGCAATAGGAGGGCCACTGTGTCTCTCCAGGTCTGGATGGAATAAACGTGAAGCCAATAGCCAGGCACAGGAAAAAAATTCTACGTATTTGCAATCCTCTTGGGCCCTGTTTCCATAATGGAGTGGTGATACAGATCTTGTCCTGTCCTATTATTCCTCTCAGTCCTTCTCCTCCCTTGTCCTTGCTCCTTCCCCATCCACCCCCCCGACCCCCTTGCCCAGTCTTTAGGGTGGCTTGGGAAGCTCACATCCTGCCTCTTTTCTCTGCTGCTCCTTACTCACCCCTTCTCTCTGTCCTGTTCCTCCCACCCCCTTTTTCTCTCTTCATCCTTTTCTCCTTTTCCTACCTCTTTCCCTCCCCAACCTCTCTCTTTTTCTTTCCTTTTTCCTTTCTCTTCCTCACTCACAGGGTTTTGGGTTTGTAACTTTTGAAACTAGTGCAGATGCCGATCGGGCACGGGAGAAGCTGAACGGCACCATCGTAGAGGGACGCAAAATTGAGGTGCGAACAAATGCACTGCCTGCTCTGCGTCGGGCATTAGACCTCACACTTGCTACCGCATCACAACCCTTAAAAAAAAAATCTGTCTTTGGGATTACCCAGGACAAGCAGGCGGGCGAGTGAATGTTGCATGTCCTGTGCTTTTGATTCCCATAGGTTGGTTGGTAGGGGAGGATGCAGAAGGGAAGGAAGGCAGAACGTCTCCACCAAGTATCTGCTAAAAGCAGACATTTCAGACCATATTAAAAGAAGAAAGAGAAGTATAATATCACCAAGCCTCCAAACTTCCAGAAAATCTGCCTAAATCATCATGTGCAATTGCCACCTGGTGGGGATTCTTGCTCTTTTCCTTCCAAAGAGGAAGCACAGAGCAATTTCAGAGTAGACCATTTAAGAGATGCAAAAGAACCTTGTGTGACTGTAGTCCTGGGTAGTGGTTGAGCCCTTTGTTCACACTGGAGTGATAAAGATGCTCCCTGATGACTTGGCCCTGGTTCATCTGGGCTATGAGGTAGAGAGATGGTGCTGCATTGTTGCCCCTGACATCCTCTTCTGCTGGAACTCCTACCCTTTTGCTCTGTTCGGTTTCTTAGGTCTCCTCTTGCCTGGCGTTGCTTAGCCTGTCCAGTGAATGGTACTTCCAGTATGCATGAAAACTGCCTGTGCAAGGCCCTGCATGTTAGCTGTGATCATGACACTGGGAAGGGAGAGTTTCAGGAGTTGTTCCTTGCAACATGGCCATGCGGTTCTAATGTTGCACTCCTGTCTGAAGCCAACACACTAGGAAGGAGCTGTAAGATTAGTAATCAGAAGGCTAGTAGTCCAAGATGTCAAGAATTGTCAAATGTAGCATGGCAAGCAAGTTGCCTTTGCTTAGGATGATCAGCCCATGAATCATGGAGAATATGACACAAACCTTCACCAGCATTTTTGAATGCTGATGTTTTCCTTGAGGTCCAGGGAAGAAGAATTCCATATGGACCCAGAGTCTATCAGTAACCAGGTGCTTGTTTCTCAACAGGTCAACAATGCCACCGCACGGGTCATGACAAACAAAAAGGCAGCTAACCCCTACACAAACGGTAATGGAATGAGGAGGGTGGTAAAGTGAGTCCAGAGCCAGGCATCCCTGGAAAGGGGGCAGACTCATTTTCCTCCAGGCCAATCTAGAGTTTGGGGGTGGGGCGGGGAGGGTTCTGATCTCTGGGGGTCTCAAGTAATGTGAAACGTGGATTTGAGTTGCATCTCTGGGAACAGAGATGGCAACAGGAGCACACAGCCTATTAAAGCAAACAGTCCAGCTTTCCCTCTTCAAGGACAATACCTAATGAGCCTAGGGCCCTCTCCAGCCCACTTCTTGGAGTGCTATTACTTCCCCTGTTAGGAGAGTTTAGGAGGATTGGGAGGAGTAATGCTTTCTGACTGCCTCCTTCTTTGTTACCAGGCTGGAAGCTGAACCCTGTAGTAGGCACCGTCTATGGCCCTGAATTCTATGCAGGTAATGTCTGGATCGGGCCAGATCCATGGACAAGCATTATCTCTTGGGGATCTGGCAGGACGACTGAATCTCATAGCAGAACTTAGCTCTTGCTTATTTCTAGGATGCCACAGGAATTTGCTTTCGCAAAGAAGAAAGCAAGAAGTTGATCAACCAGACTGTGTGGGGATGGGTACACTGGGACTGGGGAATGCCAAGTTCAAATTCCTGCTTAGCCGTGAGGCTTTCTGCATAATTTTAGGCAAATCACTATCTTCTAATTTCACCCTGGGACTGGCAGAATATTAACTAGAATCTATAGGTACATTATTAATTAATATGTAGCCAGGTGGCAAGGATTTTTTAATTCCCAATAAATGAGGGTTCTAGAATGGCCAAATTATAACAGCTCAGATCCAGATATAGGGTAGTATAAATAGGCCATAAAACATACCACTGAATGTATTGAGTGCATCTCACAATATTCTTGACACAGCTAATATGCCTTTGTACAACATATTCAACACAGCTAAATGGGACTATGGAATTTATAGCTCACTATGTTGTAGAACCCATTTACTCTCTTAGCATATTGTACGAACCCAGCCATCACATAAAACCATAATGTGGTTTGTTTGCTTGGGCCTTAGCGTATCATGTAAGTACAGGAATTGTGTTTTGCTAATCTAGGTTTAGGGTTTAGTGTGGTATATGAATTCAGATGGAGTTGGGAGGGATCTGGGACATCACTTACTCCCCACTCCTTCCATCTTGGGCTCTATTTAGCAGGTGGCTCTGTTTGTGGATCTTGCAATTCTTGCAAGCAGCCCAGTCACCTATCCACACTTTACATAACCAGCTTCAGCCACTGGTTTGGATAAAGATAGGAAAAAAATGGAGAGAGAGAGCTATGTGTGTCATTTGGATTTTATTGTAGAAAAAAGAGAATAAATGTGATTAGAACTGAGACATAATAATGTTCTGAAGCTCTACTGCATAACTCTTGATAGAGGGCAAAAATCTTGGAGACAAACATTTGGAACAGGAATAGAAACAGAAACAGGAAGGAAGATGTTGGATTGGTAGGTTGGATTCATAGGTTAGCTGCAAGGAGCATGTCTGAGGAAGGAGGTGGGAAAAGCTCATCCCTTATTCTTGGGGAGGGAGCAGGGAGTTTTGTCTGCCCAAGCAGGAATGGAGAACGGGCAGAGAGAGTTTAACATTTGGGCTATTCCAGGCTGGTCCTCATGGTTATTTCTTCCCCTCCTCCAGTGACCGGTTTCCCATATCCAGCCACAGGAACCGCAGTAGCGTACCGGGGGACACACTTAAGGGGCCGAGGACGCACAGTCTACAACACGTTCCGAGCAGCTCCCCCACCCCCACCCATCCCCACTTATGGAGCGTGAGTATTGGGCAGAGAGCCTGGCCTTATAAAAACGGGTGGTTCAAGCATTTCCAAAGAAGGCAAAGTTAGACATGCAAACTTTTCAGGCCCCAGGGGAGCCTTTTCCATGTGTCTCAGCTCTGGCCATGTGATCTATGGTTCATTATATGCCATGTTAATTTTAAGACATGCCTTTCTGAAGCTTCTCAGTTTGGGATTCCAGTGTGATTAAGACATAAGTCTCTGTTGTCCTGGATTTCTGGACACATGGTTGGAGAATTCAGAGTTATCCTTGGACTTCTCATTGGCCTCAATTTTCCTACAGAGATACAACTCCTCCATGTTGTCTGGGAATTATGGGCATTATAGTATAGCATTTCTGGAGGACATCATCTTGGAGAAGGCTAGGCAGAGACGTTACCCAGGTGGCACTCTATGTATTGCAATCAACTCGCAGCTGGAAAAGCATGTTCCCAGTCATTCCACTTTTTCAACAGGAATCTTCTGTTTCCTTGACCAGCATCAATTATGCAAGCCAATTAAGTACGTGCAGGTGTACTTTGCACAAAATACTTATTTTCATGCTTCCTTCTGAAGCTGATCATCTTACATCTTGTGTTGTATAGGCTTCTTTTAGTAATTAGACAAACATGAGGGATACAGGAAGGAAAGGATCACTAGATGATATGTGGGAGGGGACAGATAGCCATGTTGAACATCCTACAGCCTCTCACCATGTGGATCAGAAACCTGCTCCTTTTTAAAATGATGAAAAGGAAGCAAAATCCTGTCACAGAACGTATCTGAATATTGTGTGGAGGTGCATAACCGAGAGTGGCTGTGCCCAGATTCCCCCAGGAACACCTTCTCCTTCATGATCTTCCCTGTTGACTATCAGGCAGACATCTCTGTCCATTTGCATGACTCCTGCATTTGCACCTCTCCTGCTGTCGAGGTAGAGAAAGGCAATTGATGGGGCCAAACACCAGAGCCACAAAGGCCCATCTGATGCCTGCTCTAGTGCTTCCCTTTGGAACAAACAGCCAGTCTTGCAGAGCGGGCTTCAAACAGCCTTACCTTCAACTCTTAGTCACAGCCGCGTTCTTCTTGCCTTTGCAGAGTGGTTTATCAGGACGGATTCTACGGTGCTGAAATTTACGTAAGTCCTTCCTTTTGGAGTTGCCTTAGGAGATCCTTCCTTCATTTCTATCCCCGGTTTTTAAGCTCCCACATACACCTGGTGACCTTTGCTGGTAACCAGGCATAAGCCCTTCCAGGAAGGCTTTTCTGTCAGCGACAAATCCCCCCTGCTCGTTCTTTTCATTAAGTGAGGCGAGCAGGAGCCAAGGCTGCCAAAACACAATGGGAAAACCAGCCTGGGCCCAGAGCAGTGGAAGCAGAAGCAGTTGGGCAGCCGCTGAATCTCCCCCATAAGCTGCACAGCTTTTCTCATTCACTCTTGCAGCACTCATCTGTGGAATTCGCCACAGTGCCTTCCACAGCTGCAAGGGGTTTAGGGTGGAAAGGGAAGGCTTGAAATCCACTTCCCCGCTTGCGTGAGTGCGCGGCAGCAGGAGACGGGAAGCAGGTTACCTGTTCGGGTGGGGTGGGGTGAGGGGTGCATCCGCTCCTACAGAGGGCAGGATTTATTTTCTGGCCTGGTGTCAGCGTGCTGGGTTACAGCAGCGTTTCCCCTCCATATTTAAAGTGCTCTGGGCAATACTTCAGGCACACACTGACAGATTTATCAGAGGCGACATCTCGTTAACACTGCCACCCGCTAGGGAGGTGACATTCTCTCCTCAGCATGTTTAATTTCTGCAGGTTAATGTTAGCAAGACCCCTCAGGGAATGCTAATGAGATTGGAGATGGGCTGGCTTTGCGGCCTGGGTACGCATCTCCCTCCTGGGCTCGGCCAGCGCCTGAAATCCCCCGCACGCCCTCCTCCCGAGGCACTGCAGTCGTACCTTCACCCCTAATGCCTTGTCTCTCCCATTTACTCCAGGGGGGCTATGCGGCCTACAGATATGCCCAGCCTGCGGCAGCGGCAGCAACAGCTTACAGCGACAGGTAAGCCGTCTTGCTCTGAGCTCCTTAGTGTCCGGTCCCCCGTCAGCCCCCTGCTTGGACGCGGGGATTGGGAATGATGTCCCTGCGGCAAGGGATTCGTACTGATGCCCCAGGGTGTGAAGAAAAGGGACACCGGTGCCTGCACTCAGAAGCATTTCCCAGCCCCCCGGACCAGTTTGCCCAGGGGCAGGGGAAGTACCGGTGGTCCCGGCAGGCCATGGGAAAAAGTAGCAGAGTCAGCAGTACTCCAGGGCTGGGAGCTTTTGGCCCACAGCGCACAGGGTCTCTGGTCTGGGCCCTGCCTCCTACCATCCCTGTCCTCGTCCCCCTCTCCTATTCTTCACGCGCACCAGCTGCCTCTCTTCCCGTTTATACCTTCCACTGAAACGCGGGTGCTTTTTAGCTTACCAGTACACAGAATTTCATGCTGATAAGATGAATGGCTATATTGAAGGGGCCTGCATTTGGAGAGGTTATGTTCTGTTAAACGGCTTCTCTCAGAGGCAACAAGACAACTCAATTAATCCTTTGTGCTTATCTCCTCTTTCTAACCACAATTATTGCGAGGGGCATAGGAAGCCTTGAAGGGGCGTTTCGCTTTGATTGTTCGTTCAGCCAAGCCCTTTTTCAGTGTGGCTCCGCGAAATAGGGGCTGGAGCAAAGCGACCACACCTTATGGAAAAAGTCACTTCACTGGCCTCCAACAAACTTCTGATCGTGAGCCAAAGACATTTCAGTCAAAGCAAAGTTGCCTGCCTTGATGCTTGGATCAGGGGTATCAAAGCAGAGTGCCTCACTTTTCCACCCTGTGGGGCCTTTTCATTGCAGTAATCCAAGTCAAGGCAATTCTGCAACATCAAGTAGCACATCTTCAGCCAGGCCTAGTTATTACAGTGGTAGCTAGCGAAGCTTTATTTGGGAAGTGGGAGAGACTGTTTTCTGAATCAGGTATTTATTGACATGCAATATTCTTCCCATCATCCAACATCCTTTACATGTTCTAGCATCCTGTTAAAAATTATTGTCATTTAATTAGGTTAGCAGTAGATTATTATTCTATTGTTAATGAAAAGCAGGTTAAAATGCATAACAAAATAATAACTAAGTAAATAAATATGAAGGATGTAAAAAATATTATGAGAAACACTACATTATACTTAACTAAGAAATATTGTGATAGAACTGGGGAGGAATGACCCACTGCAGGAAATATTACTAGCAGAGTAGTACATTTTTATCAGATTCTGCTCAGAAGCCTTTCCTAGAAAACATTTTTAATTCTCTTGGTTTCCATACTTATATTATCGTGCTCAGTAAAGTAATGTGTGTGTTCAGCTGTTCAGTTCCACTAAATGCACATATGTTGTGTTAATTCATAGGGAGATATTATAAAAGGTGTGCAGTACCCTCATTAAGAAAGGAAGCGATAAACTAAGAGTTCTTCCACATGGCAGCTTTTAACTGCTTGCCTTCCATGCAGAAACCTGCAGGAAATAAAGCCAGGTTAAGAAATCGCTTTCCAGATTTCAAACTCTTCCTCCTCTTTGGCTATGATGGTGGGCTGATGCTGAGTCCAGGCTGCATTTACCACAGTCCCAGTTGGTGGATTTTCCCACTTCTTGACCACTTTCTTTCCATGGGCCTTGAGGACACTGGTTTCCATTGATAAATCTTTAATACAGGCCCCTCTCTGTTGAGTCTCCCTTGTGTTTGACTCTTTCTCATCTGGTGCATCCACCTGTGGACCAGAAGAAAAGAGAATGAAAAGAAAAAAGAAAAGAAAAGCACCATTTTCTCATTCTTCTAGGCAGCTTGTAAATTTCACCTAGTTAAAAAGCAAAAACAAAAGTTCCTTGTTTCCCCATTCCATCAATGAACATATAAAAAAGAAAAGAAAAAAGTCCAGCCTTTCATCATTCCACTAGCGTGTGTGTGTGTGTGTGTGTGTTTAATGCCAGCGTTTCACCAGATCTCTTGGTGAAACAAAGAAAAAAGGAACAGTTTTCTGGTCAAGACCTCTCAGAAGAGGGCAGGCAGCCTAGCAGCCCAGGGCAAAATGGCCAGGGGGCCAGCAACCAATGGCCAGAGGAGTGGGATCACTCCAGCCACCGTGCACAGTTTCCCCTTAGAACAGAGGTATTTGCCTACAGTGAAATGAAGCACAGCAACAGACAATCCGGACAGGTCAGAAAACACTCTTAATGAGTTTTTTCCTACTGGAAAAAAACAGTAGTGGTTGTCTTCTAGTGGGTTGAGGGCATTGTGTGTCCTTGCCTTTGAAAAGTGGTGGCCATAGTCGCATTGGGGCAAGCTGATCAGACTTCACATTCACATCTGGCAAGGAACATATATGTGGTCTTAGGTAGTGATGCTTTCAGCCCAGCCCTTCCCATCTATAGCACTGCAGTCCTGTAAAGTCAGTCAGTGTTAGTGCTCCGGTACTGATGAATACTAACCTACTGTACAGGTCTGTTTCAGGATTAGAAGATAGACATCTTTGATTCAAGCTTGACTTCTGTGACACACTTCACTATACTTGTTCTTAGCCAAAAGGTCGAGAAGCAGTGATTTCTATGACATCCACATAGTTTTTTTGGCAACAATATAGAAGTGGATTAGCGTTGCCCGATTCCAGAATGTCTTCTGATTCCTTAGTCTAACCTGGTGGTCTCCCATCCAAAGAATAACAAGTTCCAACTCTGTTTGCCTTTTCAAAATCAGCCAGCATTGGCTAGATGCTGCTACCTGCTGAGGTGTTTACAGATAAGTCTCTAGAAATCCTAAGGATTCTTATGATAAAATCATCTTAGAAAGTTAGCTTTTCAATATTCATGTTACTGTCATTCTTCTCTGAGGACACTGGCCTAAGAGTTTCTGAAATTTTAGCTGTTAGTTCATTCATTCTCATGTCTTCTCTCTACCCCATACAAAATCCTCACATAATTTCTTCCTTTTGGCTCATAAAGTCCAATATTGACAAAAGATCTGCTCCAACTTCATCCACAGCCAGGAAACAATTATTTGCATTTTCTGTGTGCCTTACAAAACCAGTTCTAATCAGCACGACCCAGTCACCATGCTATCATTCACGCCCATTTCTCCTTTGATTAAAATAAATAGTGATTTGTGCCCTCATAGAATTGCAGGATGCATGCAAGAAGTTAAACAACGATAGTGTTGAGGAGCCACAGCTGGAATGTCTCTACCCAACATCCTTTGGCTGCCAATGGTTTTATTCCTTCCCTCTGAGGAAAACAAACACTCTTTCCTGCTTCTGTGTCACACATTTTCTCCCCTGCAAATCAAACCTTCCCAATCTCTGTTTGCCCACTGGAGAAGTGGTGCCAAGATAGCAGATTTGGAGGTTGAAAATATGCGGAACTGAAGAAGAAGCCCCAAACTCCTTACAGACACCAAAAAGACAATCCTAGGACCTCCCAGTTGGTGGCACTGTCTTCCAACTTCCCCCAACCCTCCAAAGAGTGCTTGGCCACCTCTTGTTTAGGCAGCAGTGATACCTGTTTAGAGTACCTCTTTTTCATCATTAGTATCTCCCCAGGAAAGGACATCTTTACAATGACCTGCCTGTTCTTCTAGGAGCCAATCCTTCCCTTCCCCCTTCTGAAGTATGGAAAAAGAAAGGGGATGAGGATTGTCAGTAAAAATCTAGTTTTTGAGTTCTTGCACTCTCCTTTTTGAGATGTCTGAAGTTTGAAATGATCTCTCTGAGGATGGATGGGGAATTGGAGTGATCAGCTTTCCCCAGTCGGGCATTCCCCAGACAATGCTGGAACTCCAACAGCCAGCATTCCCAGACAGCAGGACTTTCTGGCTGGGGGGTTGTAGTCTTAATGCATTTGGTGGACCCCCGCTTGGGAAAAGTGACTCAGGAGGTCTTTGCTAAAAGCTCAGTGAACATTCTTGTCATTTCTTCTGTGTGTATCATGACTTGAAGCGAAGTTGATGATGACTGGGGCCTGATTCATGGTTTTTTGAACACTTAGGGTTGGCAACTCTGCGATTCCCCAGTTTCTAACGCTGCCCCCTGTGTTCGCTCCTAGTTACGGCAGAGTTTATGCAGCTGCAGACCCTTACCACCACACTATTGGCCCTGCTGCCACCTACAGCATCGGCACCATGGTAAGAATGGGCCCTTCCATCCCTTTGTGCATGGCCGTCCAGATGTTGGGGGGAATGTGTGTTCTTGCAGTCAGGTTGGGAACTTGGGATAAGAGGAGGCAATTGCTGGGATGTCTCTGGGGACACTGACATTCAGACTTCAGCTGCGGCCCCATTAATCAGCACTCTGGGGGCAGAGAAACCCTAAGGAGGAAGATTCTTAGAGGAGAAGCACATATCTGGGGCCTGGCCTATCCTGAGCTGCCATCCTTGCCAAGGGATAGAAAGAATGGCTTCTCAAACATAAAAGCCACCTGAAGCAAGCAGCAGCTTGTACGGGTGTAAGAGACCCTTCATTCACAAGCAGTGCTTCAAGGAGCAAATACTTTAGGAAATGGGTTGGAGCGGGGCAAGGTGTGCGTGCACAGGGATACTCCCCAAAGCCATCTCCCATCCTTCCTGTTCTTGCACACACTTCCACATCCAGTTCCTGCAGTGATGCCTCCTTGTAATCAGCTCTCTAGGCAGCATCAAAGAGGAGAAAGATGTCAAGCCATCTTGTTTGCCATCAGGGCCATCCTGGTGATACCACGAGAAATTCCACAGGCTCACAGATTTGCACTGAACCGTCAACTCTTGGAGGGGGGGAAATACTGAGAGGGAGGAATCTGCCTAGATTAAGGGAAACTGAGGCGTGGGTGCAAACCCCTTGTTTCCTTTACCAGTGGAATGATTCAATGGAAAGTGCTAGGCACCTGCCCCCAAAGCCCTATTTTCCTTTCCTTTCCTTTCCTTTCCTTTCCTTTCCTTTCCTTTCCTTTCCTTTCCTTTC